TCCAGAATTTGCTGTAGGCCCCCCACCCCTGTAGCCCCTTCTCCCCCTGCACCAAGTGCAGCCCTGGCCCAGGCCCCCTGCCAACAGGAAGAACCCAGTGCCGACCCCCACTCCAGACCACAGCAGCAGCCTGCCCTCACCCCATGCACAGATCTAGGGGGCAGACGACCCCCATGAGTCCCCCAAGGATATGCATAGTGGCGGGATCCACCCCCAGTCCTTGTGCCCCCCAGATGAGCCTCTCATGGCTCCGTCCCATGCCCCACCCTGCAGCACCTGCCCCAGCCCTAGCCCCACTCCTTCCCTCATTGCAGGGGCCTCCATTTTCCCCCTATGCCCCTTTCCTCCCCCTGCCCCTTTTCCCACAATAGACTTACCAGCCAGATACTGCTCTCTCCAAGCTATAGGACTCGCCACATGCATGCTGCAGCTGCATGAGTGCATGTGGCATTTACTGGTGACATTATCTGCCACATCAACCATAAAAAGCCAATTGCTGATAATGTCAATTTTCCTTTTATTAGTGCCAATACGATATGCACCAATGTATCAGTGCACTTCTACAATATAGTTTTGCGTTGTCTCCCACCTCCCTACATGCTGTGGAGGGGGGGACTTTGAGGGGCAAGGAGTGTAGCCGGGCCAGGCAGGAAGGTAGGGTAGGGGTAGAGGTAGGGGTGGGGAGGGCCCCCCCCAATCCAGGGTCAACCAGGTGGGTGTGGCAGGTGTGCTCAGTGGCCTGAGTCAGTCCCCGCTGGTGATGAGGACGTGCAGCTCCTGGCAGCGTCCTGAGGCACAGGGGCACAGCAGCCAGCTGCCTGGGCAGAGGCCCCCGCTGGGGCGCAGCTGGAGCTGCTATCAGCCAGTGATGCCATTGCCAGCCTGGCCTCCTGCATGCGATGGCCCACCTGGAGCTGGCGGGGCAGGTGCTGACCCTGGCTTCTGAAGTTGCTGGATGAGGCCAGGGGCAGGGAGTGCGGTGGGATAGGCTCCTGGCAAGGCGTCCTCCCCTGGTGATGTGTTGCTGCAGGTGCCAGGCTTCAACAAAGGCTCAGGCAGGCAGCTCATGCTGGAGTACACAGCATGGCTTCAGTCAGGGTCCTGGGGCATGAGAATGTCATCCAGCTACTGCATAAGGGGCACGGACTTGCGGGCAGCCCCCAACCAGTGGTTGTGGTTGGTGAAGGTGACCTACTGTACCCACAAGGCCTTAACCTTTATGCAACATGGGTGCACTGACCAGTTGTGCCCGTGCTCCTGCATGCAGCCTGACAGGCCCTTGTAGTTGTACACACTGGAGCGCCCACTAACATGCTAACCGGCTGAAGACCCTGGCCTCACCCCACAGTGCTACAAGGCCTGTGGTCTTCTGGGACCAGTTGTGGCCCCGGGAGATGGCGTCTGGCACTGGGGATGATGCCAGTGTGGTTCCATTGACAGCTTATTGGGCCACTGAGCCATATTCCTGGTGCTGCCAGGCCTAGGCATGTGCCTGCAGCACCCAGCCCAGGAGCATGGTGTGGGATAGGCAGGCACACTGCAATGGTGTGCCAGGCACCAGCACCGGGGGCCAGGTAGGCTGCTGCGGCTGCTGTGACTGGATGCTGTAGGCTCTGGCAAGTGCCTGCAGCACTCAGCATAGTGCAACAACATGGGACAGGTAACTGCATGGCAACGCAATGCCGAGGGAACAGAGCTGGGGTTCAGGCAGGCTGCCACAGCTGGCCTGGAGCCTCTGCTGCAACACACAGTGGTCAGAGGCTGACTGCAGATGGCCCAGGGCCCCAGTGTCTCTGCAAGCTTTTAAGGGCCTGGGACTGGGGCAGGCAAAGAGCTGTCCCAGCCCCATGGCCCTAGGGTGAGGCTGCAGGTGGCCTCCTGGTGGTAGGGGTGACTGGAAGCAAATTTGGTCGCAGTCAGCATCTATATGTGCATTACTGTGCAGTAACTACTCAGGAGTTAATCTGCTACCTGTACTTACAGGTAGAAAATTAACTTGTGATTAGAGCAAATTACTGTGTAGTAAGCATCTGCACGTGTAGACTGTGATGCTTACTGTGCAGTAATTTGCTCTACTGCACAGTAAAGCATCTCATGTAGATGTATGAATTTACAGTTCATCATTGCATTCTGGCGTATAGCTCATTCATTGTCATCATTACTAGAGATGATGGCACCAAGTGGCTGCTCTTTCGACCTACAGAAGGATACTCTATCCTCTGTAGGAGTCCTGGTATTTCTTGTTTTTCTTGTGCAAGTTGAGAGCTTTTGGGGCCAGAATCTGCCAGTGAATCTAGCTGGATCCATTATTGCCTCATTCATGTACAATGATACTTTCCCACTAAGGCAAAGTAGAGAACGCCCACAAGTTTGTGTGATGGTTTCCTTGATTACCCTGTGTAAATCAGGAGAGTATTTGCCATTCTTCTCAAAACATCCAGGAGCAGCCAAGGCACTTTGATTGTCCACTATTACTGGATACAGCCTCATGATGACATAAGAGCAATATTTGTATCTAAGTGACCATGAGGAGGCTATTCTGGTTTTATCTATGTTATGGCAGTAGCATGTTGTAGTGAGGATGGATGCAATCATGCCCTGCTCGGAGTTTGCAGGCAAGTTCCAAATCCCAAAGTGCCATGTTTGGTCCCTGGTGGTTTGGGGAGCAGCTGCTAAAGGCAAGCCCACTCTCGAGTGGACTGGACATAGGCAGGGCATGTTCAATTCATCCTCAGGAACCAATTGTTGCTGTGGTATAGACAACCCCTTCGGTCATAAAGTCCTTACTTTTTTGCTAAAATTAAGATCTTAACAATTTGTCAGTCGGCAACAGGGTAAAACTAGCTATACTAGCTGGCTAATTAGAAAACTGTCAGTAGGAAGCTAAAGACACCCAGCAAAAGCTTTCCTGTGGCCTGAATACAGAAAGCAAGAAGCTATCTTAAGCTGAGAAGTGGCTGAAAGAAACTATTTAGGCATTATCTGCCTTGTATGCCCTTGACCCAAACCACAAGAAACAGCAGGGCACGTTGCATAATCAGACTGGTACCAGTGGCCATAAAAGTCTTCAAGCACATGAAGCATGTGCACCCCACTGTGGAATGTGCATGAAAATAATCACTGGAAAGAGGATGATTTGTTTCCCATTAACCAACCCATAAACCTGTTCTCTGGTAGGCTGTATGGACAATATAGTTGTATGAACAATCCACCCTTTGGATACAAACTAGTTTTCATAACCATAAGTGGAAACACTTCTACTGAAATATTGGTAGATGTAATCTTCACTGATAATGTATCTGTGTAAAAGCAGCCTTTCATAGTAGGCAGCATTTTTCCAGGAATGCTCTCAATTTTCATATTTAGATGTATTATTTCAGCTGACTAAGCATTATTTTCCCTAGAGGAAAACAAAAGATTTCAAGAGAGCCTCAAACAATTTAACTGGAGTCCAAAAATTAATCTTGTTCTTCTAACCACTAGCAGATCTGATGGGTAAACATAAAATGCAAAAATCTGTGGAGAAAAAAATCTAAAAATAATTATTCAGAACTTGTCAGAGAAAAGATTTATTGGAAATAATGTAGATATAAACAACATATATAAATACTAAACAGGTATTTCTCATTTGTAAATTTAAAATATTTCTAGACCAAGGTATACTTTTCTATTCTTTAGTGTTTATTCCCACAGGAGCAGATGCAATTCCTACTAGGAACCAATGGGAATTTGCCTATTAATTTCAGTTCTGGAAAACTTCATGCAAGTCACCTAAAGGGAAAAAAATCAGTCCCTTAATATAAGTTGATAAATGAATGAGACAGATTCTTCTTGGAGAGTGGAGCAAGACTTCTAAAGGAACCATTACGAACCTCTTCTTTTTCCAATGTATGTGCAACGCTAATTTTTTGACTGTACTTCCTCTAACCAATATTAACATATATATTATATATAAAACAATCCAAAATAAAAATACTCCAATGCACACCCATCTCTTTTTGGGAGAAAAAATATACTTAGCTGATGTTAGTCACATTGTTTATTGCTCTACTGTAAGATGCTTAGATCCTGACATGAAAAGCAAGGTATAAGAACTAGAAGTACCTGTTTTTCCAATTGGGCAGGGATTTGGAGGGTCAGGGTATCCTTGATCTTCACTAAAATCCTTTGGTATGTGATCTCCTGTTAGCTCAGCGACTATGTTTGGGATATTGCCATAAGGACCCAAGTGCTGAAGACCTTCATGTGCACCACCTGATGAAGAGAAATTCATGCTCAGCCTTTTTAAAATGAGAAAAGTCAGATTTTGCTTTAGCTTTTCCAGGAAATCTAGGCCAATATTTTTTTTGTTTAAATAGATGATAGCCTCCAAATTCATGTTTAGGAATGTAACCTTGATGCAGTGCTAAACACCAAGTTCACAGCCCCTTTCTAAGTCAGACCACTTTGGTATCTAAGCCTGGACTTCAGAATTTAACTTCAGGAAGTCCTTTTGGAATATCTTAATCCACAGTTTTGTTCTAAATACCTAAGGGATGAGTAAAAGTATGCAGATATACAGATCTTATATTAGAGACAGTAATGGAGTTGAAAGACAATACCTACTGTATCATAGGTAACATTACTGTTCATTGCATCAAGTAAGAATTGAGAAGAGGTAAGATAGCATACATAGTGCCAAAAAGACAATGTCAGAGAAAAGAAATAGCACTCCTTTTTAGGAATTTGTTAATAAATTCAGTCATAGGAAAAAAATAAAGATATATCTTGGCTATAAGCTTATTACATGCTCGTCGGCTAAAAATACATTGTGTCCATCTCTCATTCTGAATAATAAATCTAAGTTTCATAGATTCATAGATTAAGGGTCGGAAGGGACCTAGTAGATCTTCTAGCCCGACCCCCCGCCAGGGCGGGAGAACAACAAAAAACCCCAAAAAGAGAAACGGGACTCAAATGAGTCCAGCCAGGTAGGCATCCAGCCTCTTCTTAAAGACCCCCAGGGTAGGGGCCAGCACCACTTCCCTTGGAAGTTGGTTCCAGCTCCTAGCCGCCCTAAC